TATGCAAAATAGTAGAATAAAAGATAGAGGTCATGTGCAAAAAGACGTGTTTGGATGCACTATTTGCTTCATCCCTTAGCTGTAAACACAGACTGAACCATTCTGGAGATAATGGCCTTTCTTTCCTGAAGTAGTGAACTTCCAGTAAAAAAGGGATTTGGTAGATCCTGCCGGAAATGATTCCATTTGCCAAGGAATGGTGCTATCTTCTGTACTCAGCTGTTTTAGATATGACATTTTTATGCGTTTTATGCTGTGTAACAGCATTACAAAACGCATATTGTCACGGGGTTGCCTGTGTGTGTGTGTGTGTTTGTTGTGTGCGTTTGTGTGTGTGTCCCACATTTTGTCCTTCTCTTTCAACTCGGGAACCACAAAAGCTAGGCGGCTAATACTTTGGTATAATGTTCCCTGCCAGTGGGTGACGCGGAAAATTTAAGTTCTCGCGGGTAACACGTACGGCCCCGTGAAAGTTTTACGGACAAATTAATAACTCCGGAACCGTGGAGTCTAGGAGACTGAAATTTCAGGGTAGTGACCCCCTACCCACGCCCAACCTTGCCCGTTCAAAATCAGCGTTCCCGCGCTTTCGGGTATCATCTACAGGCTAGTGAAAGTTTTTACCGATAAATTATTATCTCGGGAACCACAAAATCTACGAAGCTGAAATTTTGGGGTAAGGACCCCCTGCCCGCGCTTAACCTTGCCTATTCAAATTCAGCGTTCCCGTGCTCTTGAGTACCACCAATGGCCTCGTGAAAGTTTTGGCGGGTAAACTATTAACTCGGGAATCACGGAAAGGTATTCACCCTTCGGGTTTTCATGCGCTAGTGCGTGAAATTTTTAACTATTTTCCAATGTTTGAACTGTTTTTGCATAGACTAAAGTACAAAGCAGTGAAAATCATTGATAGGCAATCGTTCGATGGGCTGAATTGCACAAAACGCATGATCGCACCGGCTAGTCTGGTGCGCGACCATTTATTTCATTCGCGAGTTATGAATTTTCCCGCCATAGTTTTCACGTGCCCGTACGTGAGCCCTATTTATTATGTACTTTCCTCTGTGTTCCAAGTGCTTATTATATACTTTCCCACACAGGTCTTTGAAAGTGAACCATGCATCTAGTCCGCCAAATTTATGCGCTTATTGGGCGGAATTTTCTCTACTGGCAATTTTTGCTTTTTTTGTTAGTAATTTTATCGCTGTGGTCAATTTTTACGCCCTCCCCTCCAAATTTTACAGTGTGTTAAGCATTTTTGCGTTCTCCACAAACGGTTTTATTTCTTCGGCGACGCACGGGGAGGGGGAATATGGCCGCTGCTTCACTAGCCTAAAGAAAACTTCATTATGAGCACAACTGCCATTTGTGTAGGGCATATTTAGAAATTGCGAAAATCTCTGTTGTTGAAGTTCTGGCCAGTATCCTAGTGGTTTTGCTGGCGAATTAAAATTTGCAATAAATTCTCATCGTATTCCATGCCAGAGCCGCCGGCCTTTTCCTCACATCGTTTGAATAAGCCATTTGTACACTGGCTGTGGAGCCTCGTTCTCGCTCCGAGACCGCGTTTTTCCGGAAATGAGAATGTTTGCTACAATTACTCCTTTTAATT